GTTGACTGTCGCGTTGGCCGGCACAGCGAGGATGCACCCTTTAATGCTTTAGTAGTTCCACAGATGGAGTGCGATTTCGACGCTTTGGGACATAATGAGCATTTGAAAGGGTAGGTCATTTCTCCGTGTTGGGGGAGGGGTATTTACTTAACGATTAGATGGAAAACGCCAGCAATTTAGATGAACTTTGTGATGGGATGCATTAATTTATGAGAGAATTTTCGCACTTTCCGACCTAGTTCTGAAATTTTGTCGCCTTGTTATCACTCTGATCCAATTGCTGAGGGGATTAAACTTAACGTAATAATTAAAAGCACAGTTACGCATTCTGGGAATAAATTCGGTTTTGAATTATTTGATTCGTTACGAGAAATACTGTTAGAATGCGATGATCGCAAATCACATTATAAAGAGATGCGTAGTCATATTAAATCTGCAGTCTATGCATACATTAATGTAAGTGCAAATAAGGTTAGTGTAAGCCGGCAATAATGATATCACCTAGATTTGGCCAGTTCAGTAATGGAACAATAAAGGCAATTTTTTTAAAAAATATTTTTATGAAGAAATTATAAGAAAATTATGAAATGAGTGAAGTCTATCATGGGTAAACAAAAAGACAGTTATACATGCTTAAAAATTTCCAAAACACCAAGAAAAATTAATTGTTTGATAAAAGCTTCTCACAATCTATGAAAAATAAAATGCTGTCGATATGTTTTAAGGCAGCAAAAGCGTTCTTAATCATGATTAAACATGCTTACGGTTATTTACAATACGCGTTATTATATAGTCGGTTTTAAATTTATAGCTAGTTTTCCTTTTATTTTGTGACGTAGCAAAGTTAACTGTAAACCAAGCTTACAGATCAAATGCAAATATATTCTGAAATTTTGTTTTAAATCAAAACTAATGCTGGTTTTATAGCATGTCTGTCTCTTTTACACACACAAAGAGAAAAAAACAAGCTAGTCACGTAACCAGAACCTGAACCTCATTATTGGTTACTGATATCAACAAAAGTTGAGGTAAATATTTACAAAGATACCAAAACAGTAATAGTTGTAAATCACCATGCTTCGCGCATTGTTATAAATGCTCTCTTGAATTGCTCTGAGTTTTCGGTTCATTTAGTGATTGAATTACATTGTGTTTTATGTATAAGTTCAATTCTATTAGATCATGGTTTTTGTGTCACGGGTTAAACTTCATCCTATTATAGAAAGTAATATGATCTTGATAACAAAATTTGAAAGATTATTAGAGAAAACATCCCACAAAATGTGTTCCATTAAATCATACGTATGAGACAAACCTTGAAATAAATGTTAAGAATGGCCTTTACACCTGCCTCGTCTTTACACCTGCATCTTATCTCCATTCTTTTATTATTTTGTTCAAACTCGTTCCTCTTCGTTCATTGGTTAAACCAATTTACATTTGTTCATTAAGTTACTTTTCTTCTGTCATTTCAACTTTAGATACTGAGGAATATTTTTGATTATAGAATCGAATCTATAATATGTCCATTAAAGTACCTTTATTTTTGCTTTATTCACGTTTTATAGTTTTATTCTATACGTAGCACAAAATATACCCAATACTTATTTGGATAGTAAATCAATTAAAAAATTTTGAGAATTGAAATAGTATGCATTTATTTAGCACCGTATTAAAGTTGTAGCGAATTTAAACAATATTACGGCTCATTACGTGCGATTGTATGCGTTTACCGTTTATACTTTGCATAAGCTTCTTTTTAATAAGTCAATATTAAAAAATACTTGTTCGTAAAGCTTCTTCCTATATGCCGTTTATTATGCATATGGTTAACTTTTTAGCTTCAGTTTGTTTGAATTTTTTAAAACTTCAGAAGTTATCGATGTAAAGGCTTACGCAAAAAATTTAACAATTCATTCCCTATTCTGAAGCCATATTATCTAAAAAGTTTGTTTTATCAGCTTTTCATGGCCATATCATACAATATTCATGGGTTGATAATGTATTTATTGGTCTTCTTCAACCAGCAGTGCTGTATTCTTAAAAGAATATAAAGCAACTTGCAGGTAATACTCGTATTCTAATAAATTATTACGAATTCGAACATTTTTCGAGAATTACATTCCCACGTCGCGCTTCTTTTTAATATTAAACGTTTTAGGCTCTATTACTAGCGAGTTACGTGATCAGGAAATTTAAGTACTTTTACAAATTATTTGCATTGATGAAATATTTATACGGTGAAAAAGTATTCATCTAATACTATTTACCGATTCTACGTACGCGTGGAAGGTATATTTAAAAAGGAAACATGGTTTCTGCATTTCCTGTTAACACAACTGTAAATATTTATTTGGCATTAACTTTATTTTTATTAACTTATTTTGGTGCTTCTGAGGCAAAATTGTGATAAAATATTCCACGAAACAGTTATTTATTATTCGATACGGAATTCTTACGTTTGATATGTAACATGGTAGAAAGTATGATTTATATTTTCCAATAAAAACACCTACTTTCAGCAATGAATTATTCAAAAGAAGAAAACCTTTCGTACTATACCTCATTTTTTTAATAAAACATTTTGAGCTGAAATCAGAGTACTTTTAAATTATATATTATGAAACTAAAAATGTAACTCCTCTTTTCGCTGATATTTAATGTTATTACCTTTAGTAAAGAAATTTTTGGCTAATTTTTTTTCAAATAAAGTTAAAAATTTCAGTTTAGAATATGTAAATTATTACAAATTTATAGTCTGTGAAACCGACAACACGCGTGCATGTAACAAATACAGATATAAGCTGCTATATATAATAATTTCTTAGCTTAAAGTAACGGCGCAATGCTTTTTTGATTTAGACTTGAGTAATCCACTAAATATTAAGCTATAACTAAAATAATATTTGTCTTAAAGAGAAATAAATTAATAATTGTTTTACTTGTCTTTAATAATTATTTTAATAACAATTAATAATTGTCTTTTTAAAACATATTTTATGTTTCAAAAAGTAATAAATTAATAATTGTTTACTTGTCTTTAATAAATATTTTTAATAACAACTAATAATTGTATTTTTAAAACATATTTTATGTTTTAAAAAGTAATAAATTAATAATTGTTTAAAAAAGTAATCATAAATGGTGTTTAATAGTAACCTCCCTCAAAATCTGTTTTCAGAACCATTGAAATAAATGAAGTTATTAAAATCAACTCATTAGCTCTAGAAAGACGGTTGGAGCCTTTTTGACCCCTTTCGCTTTTTGTTGCTCTGCAATTCAAAAAATAACTTACTGAAAGTATTGAACCTTTCTGAATTTTCATGTACTTCTTTAATTATTCATGTGTTAAGCTTATAGACATGTATATCTAGAATGACAGGACGGGCCAGAGTGGTATTTTGATATGCACCCCATAACTATAGGTAGGTTTGACTATAAGGTTCCCTACGATGAGTATATAAGGTTCCCTTTGAGGAATAGAAGGTACCCTTTGCTGAGCTTTAGGTTCTTTTGGTGAGTATAAGATACCTCAGTTTTATTGAGAAAAAAAAATGTGTATTTTAACATATCTATAATTATTATTAATAGTTGAAAAGAAGACGCCCGGTAACTAAGCAGTAGCGCTTCACGCTGTCGTGCCACAGGTCCCTGGTTAGATCCTCGAACCAGGCGAGGTTGACTCAGCCTTTCATCTCTTCAGTGGGTCGATAAATAAGTACCAAGCATGCTTGGGAACTAAACTCTGGGGGTTCCGCGTTCGGCTGACCACCTGACCGGAACATCCGCTCCTGCCCCCTAGAGTCCAAGGTCAAGAAAACTCAGATGGGCACAGTAGGCCTTGGCCCTCTATGGGCTGTCGCGCCACTGAGTTTAGTTTAGTTTAGTTGAAAGGAAACTAAATTATTTTAGAAACTGATGTATAAGTAAAATTAAAAACCAATGTTCCACTTAATCAAATATTTTCGTTAACCATATCGAATAAAATACCATAGAATCTTGATGACTGAGTTTCTAATTTATCTTTTATTAAATTACTTGTGGTCATATATATTTTAACAGTTTGTGTATACCTAATTAATCTTCACACAAACAATTTGGGAAGAGCTACATTTTCCTCCTTAGATTTTTAATGTATTCAGAAATTTTAGTCTTTCTAGTAATAGGGGTTGAAAAATCATATACAAGGAAGAAAAACTATTTTCAAAATTAATCCAAAAGAATTAAAACTATTTAAAACAATCAGCTTATGGCCAATGGAACTGAAAAATAGTTTTAATTTTAAAAACAAAGTTTTTCACTTTCTTTTGATAAATATTTTGGGTTCTAATTATGCTAATTTCCTTTTTTCCTATTTCGTCAATTATAGTAAGGTAGCTGGTAGTATAATTTTTGTGCGACAATGATAAAAACGTTTTTGAATGAATAATATGTTTAAATTGCATATGATTCTTATAACTCAATATTACTTAAAAAGTAATTTTGAAATAATTAATCGGCACATATTTACTAAAATATACTTGACGGAAAGTTTTTTATTTTTCGTAAAAAGTAATTTTTGTCTTAAAATTCCTCCAATCACTTGATAATGTCCTACCTTATACAAACTGCAACTTCGATTTTTTATGCTCGAAAAGTTTAAGCATTGCTTCATACCTTCAGATCACGCTAACTCCGACAATAGAAATTTAAAAATTATTCCAACGCTTTTTAGTATTATCTGACACATAAACTGCAATTTGGTTATTTAATTTTCCACTTAGATTTTGTACAATTATATATGAGAAAGAGCTGACTCACAATTTTTGTACAAAAATAAAAAAAAAACTTGTTTAAAAAATTATAATGTTTCAAATTGCAAATATTTTTTATGAAAAAAATTGCTAAAATAAATATAATTTATTTTCAAACAGTTACAATTTATGGGATATTTGTTAGAATATAAGAATATATTTAAATAAAAATTATCTATTATTTATGAAAAGTAATTTTTATCTTACCTTCAATCAGCCTGTTTTTTAGTGTCTGACTTCAAGCAAAATCTAACTTGATTGCAACTTTACCATTAGGAAGTGATTCACCTTTAGATTTTATCACGAAATTTCTACATAAAATAAATAATTTCAAATTTGTAATTCTTCCAGCAGTTCAAAAAATAACTAATTTATCAATCAGAATCAACAAGATCGCTTAAACTTGTAATAAACATTTAAAAAAATTTAAATAGATATATACATACATTTTCTAACTACAAATAAAATATTTATTGAAATTTAATCAAACAATAATAGAAATAATTTGATAACTGTTTTCATTAGCTTAACTACTTCCTAGTACGCTACAATCACCACTTTTCTACTACAATTATAACAATTGTTTATATACTGATAAAAAGTAAATTTTGTGATTTAAAAGGATTTAGAGAACAAATTAGCTAAAAAAAAACTTAATACGTTTTTGTGTTTTGAATCATTTAATTTTTTTTAACATTTTATGCACTATTAAAATGTTGAACGTTTAGTTTTCTTACAGTCATAATCCAAGTTTTTCATTTACATTTTTAAAACGTTAAGTAAAATATTATCAAAATAGCCTCATTTGTTTTTTCAAACGAGCAATTTTTAACAAATACGATTTGCACTCATAAATTCTTAGCCTAATTAGCATACTTCTAAGACATAAATAGAAGTTTTTATGTTAGACAGCTAATTGGAGAAGTACTGATTTCTTAATAACTTTAACCACGTTTAAAATTAAATCCCATATTATTGTTTTTTTTTTCTCTATAAAAAGCATAATTCTTTACAAATTAATCACGCATTTCAAAGTTAACAGTAAAACTTACTCGTGAGCTTACTTATCTTCAATACTACAACAACAAGAATTTGTAAAATAAAATTTCAAAGATAGTTTCTAAGAAATAAAATTTACGGCTCGTTGTAAAATAAAGTTTCGAAAAGTTTCTCAATTGTTTTAAGACAAAATTTACGCTTAATAAATTCATGAAAAACTCAACATATCAAAAATAAGCTTATCTTCAACTTATACTTCTGAAAACTTACAAACTGAAAGCTCCAAAACTTTCAAAAATTGAAAAAAAAATAAAACATGACCTACCAGTTATATTTAAAAATCAGTATGTAGATGTAATACCGTATATAAACAACCAATTTTTTGTGTTAATTTTAAAAATAAATTATATATTGCACTGAGTTGGAAAACCACTTGATTATAGATATCGTTGATATCTATAAAAAACGATGATTCCACTTCTTAAAATTCAGTACGTGGAGTTTAGAAAAGTTATTAAGCAAATGTTAGAAAATTTTTAGTCAGTGTGACAAGATCAAAAAAATATATAATAAATTATGCCTTTTAATTAAGAACTGAAGTTTATTAAAATCATTACTTTTTACTGTCTAAACAAAATACCCAAAAATGAAGAACATTCAATAGTTCAAAAAATTACATGTATTACAATATTTATTTTCTCGAAAAATTCTGCAATTTTAGATTTTTTCCCCTTTTTTTTGATAATATAATGAATTATTTTTTAAAACATAATTAATGTTTTAAGAGCAAGATAAATCTGCTAAGTGTAATATTTTATACCATTTGAAAATATTTTTAATGGTTTCGAATGACCGTAGCAATTCAATCTACTATGTGGTTTTCCATAGGTTGTTGCCCACTACAATGTTCAAAATATTTTTATTTGTAGGATATGAAGAAGTTCACAATTTTTTTGTTTCCTTCTAAAAATCGGAAAGAATTACATCCTCCGTTATTCTTCCATTTCTAGTTTTTGAACTAAATTCAAAAATGCAAAATTTTAATTGTAAATTGCTTTAAAATGACTAAAATCTAATAGGTAATCACTTGAAAAAATCGTTATGGCGGGGCAACTACTTCATTATTTTGAGAATATTTTAATGTTACTTTATGTTGAAAAATTTTGCTACTGGGAAAAATTAAACCCTCGTTGTATGAAGACAACTGTAATATCGATACGAATAGATTAGCTATTGAATTTTGTAAAACAGATAAAAATCAAATTGTATACTTATTCTAAATTAAATATACGAAATTGAAATCTTTTTTTCCTCAAGATCATACTAAATGTCACTCATATTTTATAAACAGGTAGCAGTTTTCTTACTTTATAACCCGTTGAAAATAATTACCCACTGCAGAACTCATCAGACAGAATAAAGAACACAATTAAAATTGTCTAAAATAAGCCCCTCGATTATTAAAAAGATAGCCAGATAGAGGCCATTTCGACCCTTTTCGTTTATTATTGCTCTATAATTTAAATAAATAACTTACTTAAAGTATTGAGTACTTCCAACTTTTCGATCGAATTTAAGTGCCTATTTAATCATCCAAGAGTTAGAATTATAGACAAGTGTATATAGAATCCTATATCTAGAATGACAAAAAGAGCCAGAATGTCCTCTAAGATATTTTGGTAGGTACACCATAACCAAAGGTAGGTTTGGATATAAAGGTACCCTTAAAACTAGGTGTAAGGAACTACAATTTCATTAAAAAAGCAACTTTAACATACCTTCATTTAATATTTACAGAGAAAAGGAAACTCAATTATCTAAGAAACTAATGTATAAGCATAAATGAAAAACGATCATATAATCATATAAAATAAAGTACCATAGAATTTTGATGATTAAAATATCCCTATTATATTTCGTATTAAATTAATTATGATTTTAAGATTTTGGATGTCTAATTGTTTGACGAGCAAAAGGTCTGGGAAGGACTGGCTCTTTCATATTTTCTAGGAATACAGCAACTAAACATGTTCTGCTTCTTCTGGTCATTCATATTTAGAAACAGGAGTTATTTCTTACATTTTTTTTCTGTCCTATTTTTGTAATACTGCGTACTAAATGAATCGCTGTTTGTTTAAAAGACATTCACTTTCTGCTTTTTGATAAAGCTAAAAACAAAATATTTTCGGCTTTTATCGGTGAAAAAATATCAGGCATAGCACTGATATATCAGCCTATGATATAGTGCCTAGACCATGAACATACTTTTGCTTCCCTCAAATATTTTACACTGATAGGAAAAGCAGAAAATAATTTCCTTTCTTGCTTTCTTGGAAAAATCAGTTGACTTAAGTCTGCAACAATTCAAATAACAATTGATTCTATTCTGCGTGAGCATAAATTTTTCCTAATTTTCCGTTCGATATGGAGTGCTTCACGTTCCTCACCTGCAATGTATACATGATGTTCCATAAAGCCACCCTTAATGGATATTTCAAGAATCCTTGCAAAAAATGTAGACAGAAAGGTATTTCACAAACTTATATTAAAGTAAAGAAATCCTATTAAAATCTGACAAATCAGAATTACAGATGGTAGATGTGCAGAACATAAAAACCTATTTGATTGCCGAGTAAAACTTAAAGAATTTCTAATAATCATCTTTTAACTCTTTTCTGTTCCTTCCGCAGTCGAACAACTTAGGTATTTCGTGCGATCGATTTTCTTAAATGTTATTTATTAGGATTTGAAGGCATTTATGTTTTTTTTCGACATATATTAATTTTATTTACCCATCCTATATGGTTTTTGCTTTCAATTTTTGAAAAATATTATAAAAACATATACAAAGAGTGGCTTATGCGGAACACCTTACTCATTTTTCAAGCCCATTTTAATAAATTAATTGAAAAATAAACAAATGAACCTTAAAACCAATTGAAGGGTACTTCTTGCAGATGTACGACAATCAAATTGATTTAAATTTTTATTTAACTCGTCTTAACAAGACTTAACCTCGACTATGATTCATCCGTCTAGGAGAAGTATAGTTTTTAGAAATACCCTTCAGTTTTACGCAACAATTAATTTGATTTTTATACCTTTTCATCCAACCTTCACTTTAATAAATCTCAGCAGTAAATAATCATATTTTATTAACTTCATTTTTTCTCATACACCTATTTATTTTCTCTTTAAAATACATTTTTTACTTCAATTTCGGGAATTTTGCGAATATTTGATAAAAGAACTGAAAGTTATACATTTTGAAACTAAAGAAAAACATCGGAAAAACATTCAAATCCATGAACAGATTAAACCTTAAAATACAGCTTCTGAGAAACTCAGAAAAGTATGCTTGTCCAAATAAATACTGTCTTATTCATGATTCACAAACTGAAAAGATGTAAAGAATGAATAAAATAGACTTTGTATTAAAATTTCAGAAGCGTAGGAAAAATTATTAAGAGAAAGTGTGGAGTTTTAAAAATGATGCATTTCGTTGAAAAAGAGAAAAAACGTTAAATTGAATGCTGCAAAAAGAATTCGCTCGAAAGCGAGCATTTTATGAAAAAACCTCCCTAGAAATTCGAATGGACAAATTTTCTTTTATATTTTTATATGTACTGAATGAAATTTCTCATACTTTTAGATTAATGTATCTCAAGCTCTGGGGGGCTAATATTTTAAAGGTATTTCGTAATGATCTCCTTTAATATATATTTTTTTAGAATATTTTACTAAAATGAAGTCAGAAAAACATATAAAATAGAAGTCGCAAGTTAACATTTAAGAGAGGAAAAAAAAATGTGCTATTAAAATGTATGCAATAACTAGTGTGGAAGGTAGGATTAAAAACATTAAAACCAATTCGACTGCCAGATATAATGTTTTCTTTAATCATCTTTCAACTATTCTCTAATTTCACCAATAACTAAACAGCTTTCGATATTTTCAACCATAACAACTTCTCAAGTGATTTGATATAATAATATATTTTATAAATATAATATTATCAATCGCATAATGTATATTATTGTGCGCATTTTTTTGCATTATTCTTTCAGGCATTCTAAAAATATATTTTAAGAACGGTTATTCCAGAACATTTTGCATTGTTTTTAAGTCACCTTATTTGTAATTTAAAAACTAATCCGTAACATTCTTACTTTATTCATGAAATAGAAAAAATTTCTAAAGCATAAAACGGAAAGCTTGAAATAATTTTTCATAATGCATGAAGATACAATAGCTGATAAAATTTTACAATAAAAAATCATATTAATAGCTTCTGTAAAAATTCAGTGATATTTATTTTTTCAGAAAGCAATGATTTAATTAAAGGGTCTCTAGAAAAGCAAATGCGAAAAGCAAACTAAAAAGCGAGAAAGCAAACAAACATGTATTTCTATGAATAAATCTTATTTTCATAAAGCTTGAGCGCAGTGAATTTCCTTTATGTTTTTAAGCAAAATAAACAGTATTATCTTCTTTTCAGGTACATCTTTTTTTTTCCTAGTCGCTATAACTACGAAAATTTATTATAAAAAATATTTAGATAATGATTTTATTATTTGTCTTTTATTTTAAAAATAAAATTAATTGAATACTCAATAACAATCAAGTTGAATAATAATTTATGTACATAAAATTTCATAAATAGTTCAATTTATTAAAAAACAAATGCAAAAAAGGCATACATTATTTTTAAATTTCTATTGTTTTTTGTATAAAAATATAAAACTAATTTATTTATTGCTCTTAAAATATAATCAAACTCATTATTATTTTTAATAATTTATATAATATTAGAATTAAAAAAAATAATAAAAAGAGACGAGGTGAAATTCACAGTCATTTAAAATAAACATTAAGCCAGATTTAAAAGCAAGCAAAATAAAATTCTTTATTTTAGAATCTCAATGGGGAGATTTCGAAATTCTTAAGGGTACTTTCGTTTTTAAATTGCTCTTCCATTTATTCTACTAAAATAATTCATAGAATCCACTTAGAAGTTCGCGGGATGGCGCCCGAATCGCATTTACTCCATCTGCCCCTAGTAGTGGGGCAACTCCTCTCTCCGCCCCAAGACATTCAAATAGAGTTCGCTTTACTCTTCAAGCCGTAGTCCGTTGGTTGCCAGAAACCAAACGACTTCTCATTCGCAGCGAGCGAAATATTCTTCGCGTTGAACTATCATCGGGCTGTTGCTTATTGTTGATTGAGCCATTGCTTCTTCGTTGGAGATAATTTGAAGAAAGGAGCACAATTCAGTGCGTAGATTTAGTTTTTTTTTTTTCAAATGTAGATATTTTAAAAAATTAAAATTAGTTATTTTTATTTCAGATTTTAAAAAATCTATTTCATTTATTTCCTTTTTCCAGGATTTCGTGAGCAGTTTGAAAAATAATATTTCTTGAAAAATTTTCTCATTTGCATTACAATATGTATTACAGCCAAATAAATAATTAAAAATATTGTGAAAATAAAAATATTATGATTTAAAATATTATAAAAATATTATGATTTAAAAATATTATGAAAAAATATACTTTATTGAAGGTTATTTAAGTATATTAACCCTTTGACTCAGATAAGACACCGGTGTTCCTTTTATATGTTTTTTTTTCTGAAGCTTTAATTATAAGCAAAAATATATTTGGTATTTTTTAATTATAAGGAACAATAATAGTTGCTAAAAAAATCTGTTATATATTCCGAATTATATTTCCACAAAGATATATAATCCAAAAAAGTCGTTTGAAAATTTCTTTTTCTTCCATATTCAAGAATTCATCAATAATTGATTTTGTATATTGATTTTGTATAAGGAATTTCAATGATGAATAACTGTGTCTTAGATTGAAACTACAAATAAGTGCAAATTTGGAAAATTATTGTCTGGAAGTAAGCTGTGTTTGAAAGAGTTGATCTTAACGCAGAAAAAATACCGGTGTTTCATGCTGTGTTTCATTACCATAAATTATTAAAATGCAAAATTTAATATTTTTTACTTATTTTTATCTGAATACAAAATAAGAAAAGGAGTATGAAACATATGTTTAATAAAAATTATGTGTTAATAGGTGTGTATAAAACTTCGTTTAAATTATAAAACTGTCCATTAACACATACATTTAATGTCATTGGTTGCTAAAAACGGAATGAAATTTCAATTTGAAGAGTATGAAGTATTTGTGTTGAGCTATTGGACTATTCCCTATTGTTAATAGAACTATTGTTCCTTTGCTGAAAAAATAATTTTAAGAGAGAATCACAACTCCCTTCATAGATTTGTTTTTCAAATGTTAGTAACTCAAATATTTGAATGAAGTTTTTATTAATTTAAATTTTAAGTTAAATAACGTGATAGTCATTACGTTTTTCCAGGGTCGCATATCCATAACACGAAAAAATATTTCTTAATAAATTTTTTAATTTATGTTTCAACATGTAATATGTTTAAAAGCAAAAGAGAATTTTTTTTAATTAATGTAGCATTGAGTATGCTAATAAAGGTCTTAAAAATCTTTTATTTAACTATACAATTGTTCATTGAAATATTAATTTTTTTTCGTTGGCTGTTGGAAACAAAACAACTTTCCTGATCTCAAGCAATTGAAGTATTCTATTGGTTGTAATTTATTGTTTATCATTATTTCTTTGCTTGGTATAATTTGAAGAAAATGAGCACAATTCAGTGTTTGTTTAAATATTTTCAAAAGTATTTTATTCACGTATTTGAATTGATTTATTTAAATTTTAATTATACAGTGAGCAAAATATTAAACCGGACCACCTTGAGTAACTATTGATTTAATTACCGGATCTTTACGTTCTGGGATTTAATCTTAATAGTTAAAGGAGGGGTCTTCAAATATGTTCATTAGTTCAGATGATTTCCTGAGTTACGAAGTAAGATACAAAAACACACCTTCTCTGAATGAACATACGTTTTATTTCGACAGAATTGGATTTCTAACCCTCCAAAATATAGGCGGTAATCGCAATTTGGGAAATATGTTTCCAATAGTTTGGTCAGAAGAGCGGTCCAAAGCTCCTTAATGTTACTTTTTGCGCACTTCGCCATATCTCGATAACTTTTTCAGCGAAATGAAAAAAAATTTGCACAGAATTATAAAATTCGATAATCCAAAAATAATTTCATACAAAAAAATTACTTTTATTTGATATTTATTATTTTTTATTTAATGATAGTAAAAAAAATTATTGAATTGTCAGGTATACAATTTTTTTACATCATTTTAAAGAATATGATTTTACATGTCAAAATACAAATTTTTGAAGGAAATTGGTCGAAAAGTTCCTGAATTATTTTAGAAGTAAATTAATTTAGAAATATTTTACATTTTCAATCATTTGTTCAAATTGTTACTAAAAACAGTATTAGGTCACAATAAAATTTTAAGTAACGACATATAGTTGCATATACCATATGCTTAAACATATTAATTTGATCAAAATTAAAAAGAATAAAAATCATTACGATTTTAAATTCAGAATAAAATAAAAAATAACAAGTGCGATATATTTTAAATGAAATTTTTTGGTGCATGTTTTAACTTAGGAGTGGTGAAAATTAAAATTTATCTTTAAATTTAAAGAATCCATTATGGAGACAACACACACTAAATTAATAAAATTTAAAAAAAATCTACCTTCGGATCTTAATTTTGATTTAGTAAAACTAAATTTAAAGCTAACAGAGAAATAACGTATTATCATTTTGGAACAAGTAACACCCCCGGATAGACTATATTTAATAACTATATTCAATTCAATCTTTATACAAGAATAAACATGTGTATAATATTTACCGTATGAACTTGGATCATAAGCATCAGCATATTATTAAGAATTAATTATCAATGTTAAAACACTCTTTTGGTCAAACAAATCTGCCTTCAATTTCACTATTAATTAATGCCTATTTGACTGCATGCACTATAATGAGGGTGTTGTATAACTCATGCATATTTAGAAGTTCAGGAAAAAGGAAAACAATTTTTCATATTTTGTCTCATTGACTATGTAACATTTTATTAAACACGTTGCCTAATCAATGTTTCTAGTTATTAGTTTTATAGTTGTATAAAAATTTATTAATCTGTTCGGTGTAATATTGTGACCAATATTTCAAAACACTGACAGATCAGCATCTGCAGTTACTCTATCTTCTCCACGTCCCGCAGACTAAAATACTATTGGGTCATATGTGTCTTGTCTAAAAAAATCTGTGGTAAACACGTGTCCCAACCAGCCGCCAATTGCCCAAATAATAATTTTTATTTAGGCAGATTATTGTTACTTTTACCTTATTTGATACATTGTAGTTTGTCTTATTGTTGTCCAAGTTGTAGTTTGTCTTATTATTGGAAATGAAAAAATTGGTCTTGAAAGGGTAAGGATTGTAATTTTTCTCGTAATATTGATATTTTACAAAGGCTTAAATCTTATCTTATCAACATTTAGTTAGAAATAGTTTTTATCCCTTTTATAATATAGTTCTCTTACATTTTTTATTTAATATCGTATTTATTATATGTTTCAGACAATATAAAATATGAATTTCAGAAATCGATTTTAATTAAATTGTTAACAAAATAGCAACATTTTAGAAATCCCATAACTTAGTAACGCATGGTAAAATTAACTGCTATCTTTCTCGTTTCAATGAATTTCTCCGACTATATTATACTGTCTATCAGATGAGTGGCCTGAGAATTTTAAGAATTTATAGACGTGGTTTGCTGGTGCAAAAGGTTGAAGGCATTAAACAATTCGTTACTCCTAGAACAACAGAATTTAACAGCATATTTAACATATCAGATGATAGATTTCTTACAAATTTCTTTACTTATTGAACCATTTTTTTTTCGAAGTTTAACATTCTGCATGTTGTTAAATGTTTTGGGCCTTATGCTCTAGAACATTTGAAACTGACTGTTTTATTGTATTGGAATTTATGCTATGTTCCAGTTAATTTGCAGATCATTAAAATGGAATGCCAAATTCGAGAAAACTGAGTATTTTCAATATCTTCTTTTTTGCTTTTAATTGAGAAAATCTAAGGCCTCGAAATTTGCTCTTGGCATTTGCACTGCGCATAGAGGGTGCCAATGCTACAAAAAGTCGAGCGATTGGTATTGGCTCAATTAAAAATAGAAATTTTGATCTCAATGACATACCTCGTTCCAGAGTTCTAATTTAGTTTCATGAAGAGCTAGCAAAGCAAGCTTTAATTCTCGTCAAACGAGAATTTAAGTTCAACAAGGTAACTAGTAAAGGAAATAGAATGCTACCACAATTTTACTTACTATTATTTGTTACTCTTTCCCGTGGCTTTACTTAATTAGCTAAAGGAAAACACATTTTTAGAATATCATATCTTTACATTAAGATGAACTGTTTTCAGTATCATCTGGCTTGGTCAAAGCCAACTCTTGGTATTCAAAATTTACCACAATCAAGCAATTTTCTTCTGCGCTTACTCCTTTACTGGAGGAGGGAGGCGCTAACATCTATTATCACAGTATCTATTATATACTAAACGATAGAGATTAACACACACAAAAAAAGCAGATTTTATTAAAAATATGTAATTAATAACGAATTTTAACAAAATATAATATTTCATAGGATTTTCCAATTTCTTGGTTTTATGAATTTAGTGGACGGCTCATATATACGTTATCAATTCGACTCAACTGATATTTATTACACAGTTTCAATATTTTTGTTTTTACAATACTGTTGTGAGAGTCACGATTTAACGGTACTATTCCGTTTCAGGGAATCTTAAAAAATAGCCCATCTTTTTTTGACGCCAATGATGCGTAATTTCAGTAATAAGTTCTGGTGGAAAAACCTGGTATACTAATCTAGGTATGTATTGTAATAAGGTTTTTACGTTCTCTTTAGTACAGACGTGAATGGATAAGTTATGTAAAGGTTAAGATATAGAATCCGGGATTTTTGGAGATAATTTTCGTTCAGTTATGCTGAAACCCCATTTCTGGTTAACGTGATATTTATTCTTTTCAGTCGTTGCTTTCAATGACGTCACATTCAGGTTATTACAAATTTTGTCTACCATCTTGTAATTATTTTTTGGTGCATATTCATACGTATAGATTTATTTTTCAATCGCTAAATAGTTTTCACTTATTTTTCAAATCGAGTGGTTCCCGTTTGAACACTATTAACAAGTCATATTTGTAATTATTACAAATAATTACAGTACAATTTCATT